CTTCTGGCAATCATCCTAGGAGAAGGACAACTCTAATCCCAAACCCGGGCAGATGGAGCTCGCTTAGCCCTGTAAGGCCCCCCATCTAAGAGAAGGTCGCTCTAATCAAACCTCCGTCCTGAGGACCTCACTGCCACCGTCCAAGCTCGCTCGGCCCTGGCAGATGAACCTCAGGATTAAAGGGTGGGCTCAGTTCAGCGCACGCTGTGTCTCACCTAAAAAAAAAAAAAATCCATTGCGCAGGCTCGAAGGGTCAATGACCTTTCCCAAATCTTCGCTCGCGAAGACTGGCCATTATTATAGTATGCGCGGAACTGAACCCACCCTTTAATCCTGAGGTTCATCTGCCAGGGCCGAGCGAGCTTGGACGGTGGCAGTGAGGTCCTCAGGACGTAGGTTTGATTAGAGTGACCTTCTCTTAGATGGGTGGCCTTACAGGGCTAAGCGAGCTCCATCTGCCCGGGTTTGGGATTAGAGTTGTCCTTCTCCTAGGATGATTGCCAGAAGGCTTCCGAGCTCATCCTGCCCAGGGATATATTGTATCTGACCCTGCTGTTTTGACCTGTCAGGCATGGGTGACCCTACCGAAGGCATGTACCATCGCCAGCATAGCTTGCAACCACAGAGGGGCACACAGGCTACGTTCTTGTTAGAACGGTCTGGGTAAGTCTTTCATTTCCTACTTTACTATCACCTATTTATATACAATCATAAGGAGATACCCAGGAACAACCCTTTGTCCTGCCCACCCTTTCAGGACGTAACAGAGCAAAGCAAATATATCCAGAACATGCTGAACCTGGGCAGTAGCCGCAGGTGAGCCAAAAACAAACAGACAAAGAAACCGACCAACTGTTCTGGCCCCCGTACACATCCAGGGCTGGGGTGCCTTTCAAGGCCCCAGCTTGGCTGGGACCCCCATCACTCTAAAGGAACCCCACTTCCTTTAGAAGAGTTTGAATGATGTTGAAAATAACGCTGTAGAATAAAAAAGAAGTCTATGGGATTTACTAGATGTTTCCTAGAAGAAGGTAATAAAATGACACATAGTTTGATTATGAGAAGCTTTGTATTTGCACAAGTCCCCGGATGTTGGTCTGACTAGCAGGCTGAAAGGCGGTGGGAGATGACCAGAAATGATGAAAAGCAAAATCAGAAATGGGAGATGATTGACACATAGGCAGTCCTAAAGCAATGAAACCAGAACACATACTAGAGCAGAACGGGATATCTGAGCTATGGGCATGGAGGATTTAGGTGAATTTATGCTTGTATGTTCTCCATGTGCAGAAGTAAGAAAACAAAGAGTATGCCATCCACAGTTCATTGCAGAAGGGATAAGAAGCATTCCTTCTAGGAAATGCTGAAGAAACAATTCAGAGAAAACCCAAAAGCTAATCAGATACGAAGTCAGATACAAAGCTTTCCTTAGAGCAGATACAAGAAGAATTATGATCAAAAATTTGTTTTGTTTAGGAAGAAGTCATTATAAAAATACACTGAGGGTAGAAAAAAAAACAAATTGATTTTAAATAGGTTTAAATATACTGTTATAAAACAATGACATTATACTTAACTTCAATGTATTGCAGTCAGAAGCTTGCCACATTAACATTATCATACTCATAGCCGTGTCCAGATCATTACAATTTAGTGTGCAAAATTTATGCATGTTTCAGTACTATTGTATGCCTCTACTCATTGCTAGATTTAGAATTCATCCAGTCTGAAATTAAATTTTATAGACTCCATTCTAAAGATAGGAACAGAATGAAAGAATCAACACATAGATTTCTTTTATTGGAAACATCAGTATGTCAATGAGCATTGTGACATGTCAGGTGTAAGGCTGAGCTAGATGTAAGACACCTGGCAAATTGACCTTCAGATTTTAGTTTAATTATTGCCAAAGTGATAGTGCACGATAATCCCAGTACACTTTAAATGAATTTTGTGTAATGACAAAGAGCAGAATGTGGGCCTGTCATCTTTTGAAAATTATATTGACTTTTCAGACCAGATAACTAGTGAGTGATTGGTGTGAACACAAGGTCACTGAAAGTTCTTAACTAGAAAAAAACAATCCAGAGTCATTGTCAATTGACTGTTCATTGATTGAGAAGAAGATACAGTACTGCAACATTTAAAAAAGTCATGAGCGCTATTCTGCCCTTGGTTGTATTTGTATATCTCTGGAATATGCAGACAGTCTCATAATTCTTAAATTACTCTGTTGCTTAATGTTTTAATTTATTATTCCCATTTGCTTCACTTCATAGTTTTCAGAATATTTTTCCACCCATAAAAGGTGAATAGCAGCCCAAAGATCCACATTTTTTATACAGTTGCCAAAAGCTAAAAACTACTTTGTAAATCTCTTTTGCTAGACCTAAATGTTAAGATTTTTTCTATTGATTTCAAAAAGTTATCCTGTCTCTTCAGTACAGGTCTGGAATGCCAGCAAACCTTAGTTTGATCCTCCTCTCTTCTTAAATGTGAAACACAAATTGAATAAAGTCCTAAAACCAAGGAAGAAGCATGCAAGCCACACAGAGCATGTCGTGACTTTCTGTGTACTCTGTATTGTAAATGCCTCTAAAAAGAAAAAAGATAGGAGGAACAATAAATCTTTTAAATAATTTGGCTTATGTAAATGATGTATAAACATGCAGAAGACTATAGAAATATTGTTACCAGTGAATAGCAATAATTTGGTGGGTCATTTTGTGAAAGACATTGTACTGCACAGTATCTATATGGCAAATAGTATTTCCTTTCTGTTCTATTACTACCAGAAGGAAGTTAATGTAGCACAGCTTGCCCTGGTATGCCTGAATAATTGTTTCAAGGCAAGGTATTGGAAGCTAGGTCTAATAGGTATGACAATTGAACTCAGTCAGAGAGCAGCTAGATGCATTATTGATTATGCATGCACTTCAGAGTCTTTCAGGTTGCACATCAGCATTTGCACTAAGCAACAAACCTAGAAAAGTCTTAACATATCTGTTTAAACCATCTAAGCAGGAATCATTTATTCCAACAATTAAAAATAAATATGGTCACGAAGTTACCACAATGAATGATATTTATTTAGTTCAGTACTTTAAGGCTTCTATTAAACATTGTATTCTCAAGATGACCTCTAGTTTCCACTCATTACATAATACCAGGCATTTTTTTATTAGGAATTGATGTGTTTCTTTTG